GACCACACAAAGTCGATTGCGGCCGCACAGCTCTCTGCCGCGCACCGCACAAAGTCGACTGCGGACGCACTGGCCCCTTCCGCGGTCGCACACGATTTCTCGCGGACCGCACTAGTGGGTTCAGAGATCTGAAATTTCTCTGAACCTGCAATAACTGTGTTTTTAAGCCTAAGACATCCTGGAACCTACCCGAAACTCACCCGAGCCCTCGGGGCTCCAAACCAAACATACTTACTAACTCAAAAACATCATATGAACTTATCTGTGCGATCAAATCGCCAAAATAACATCATAAACATCGAATTAACCTTCAAAATCAATGAAATATTTCAAAACTTCTTAAAATATCAAATTTGCATTTAAGGTCCGAATCACGTCAAACGGATTTCGGTTCTCACCAAACTTCACAGAATTATCTTAAATCATATATAAGACCTGTACCGGGCGCCGGAATCCAAAATACGGGCCCGATACCAACATGTTCTAATCAAAATTCATTTCCAAATCCTTTAAACAATTTCAGAAAATAATTTTCTTTAAAAATTCATTTCTCGAGTTTGGGACCTCGAAATTCGATTCCGGGCATACGCCCAAGTCCCATATTTTTCTACGAATCCTCCGGGACCGTCAAATTACGGGTCCGGGTCCGTTTTTCCAAAACGTTTACCGAAATCAAATTAATTCATTTTATAGTCAAAATTTATCATTTTTTCACAGATTTTAACATATAGGCTTTTCGGCTACGCGTCCGGACTACACACGTAAATCGAGGTGATGCTAAAAGATATTTTTAAGGCCTCAGAACACAGAATTCAATTTAAAAGCTAGTGATGACCTTTTGGGTCATCACATCTTTTGACTTGAGACTTTTTATCTGCCTTCATATCCAAATTTATCTTTCAGCTTTATTTAATAAGTTACAGGTAATAATACTCGAAACTTGTTATCTTTATCAAATTTTAGACTAAAGAGCTAAAACATCATACTTGATAGAACACGAATCGTACTACCGTCAGACCTTTCTATAACAACATCCCTATATAATAATATTTTTACTATAAAAGCCAAGCTTTTTCGGAACAAAATTTCATGTTATGTTATAATATATGTTCTCTATAATAACATTTCGCTATAACATCCAAAAATATACGGAACAAACGAAACTGTTGTAGAGATGTTTGACTGTACTCCCTTTGGTCCACACTAATTAATTTTTTTTGCCTTATTTTTTTGGTCAATAATAATTGATTTTTTCAAATATCAAGAAGGAATTAATTTCTTTTTTTTTTCCAAAGTTGCGCTTGGAGTAAAGAACCTGGGAGTATTTGTTATATTTTCAATGAACAAATTAAGGTTAATATAGTCAAATTTGGTTATGGATTAATGATAAAAGGTAAATTCATTAATATGTACGAAAACAACCAAAAAATCAATTAAAGTGGACCGGAGGAAATAGTGATTAACATGGCATACTAGTGATCTCATTCCAACTCATTAATTACGTCAACTCCAATAATTTCTGGGTATTCGATTATTTGGCTATACATTTAAGTTCTAATTAGCAACCATGTATGCTCGATGCATACATAAAAGCAATAAATGATGTAGAAAGTAAAGATATTTTCTTGTTAAACATGTTAAGGATACGCATCTCCGAAATCAAAAATGGATTTGCTTTAAAGTCTATACTAGTAGTAATACAAAGAATTGCGGAAATATAACACTTTTTTGGGTGGTCTTTTAATTTTTAACCTTCGCTAGCTTCATGGGCAAAAATTTTAAGATCAAAAGTTAAAAGCGTTATTCATGAGGCAAGCAAGGGGCAATAATTATTAAACTTGAAGTTCTACCTATATGGTAAATGGGGCCAAAAATTCAAAACCATCCACTTTAATGGTTATTTGTGTAATTCACACATTAAAAAAAAAAACTACATAAATATGATACTTTTTGGGGTAGTTTTTAACTTTTGACCCCTATTTGTTCCATGGGTAGAACTTCTAGGTCAAAAGCTAAAAATATTGCTAATTGGACAAGCGAGAGGCAACACTTCTTAAACTTAAAGTTCTGTCCATAGGACAAGCGGAAACAAAAATTCAAGATCATCCACTTTGAAAATTTTATGTACTTAGCACATCAAAAAATTATAGAAGGGGTGGTCTTTAACTTTTGACCCCCACTTGTCCCATCGGCAAGAACTTCAAGGTTAAAAGTTAAAAGGGTTTGCCCATGGGACAAGCGAAGGGCAACAATTGGTAGAAATGATATAGTGTAGCCATTTTAAAGGGCTGCTATTTAGAAATTAGTCAGTGCATCTTGAATTTCAGCTTTTCAGGACAAAAATGTCCTTAATTGTCTTGAAGTTAAAGTTTTTAGTTTAAATTTGGTGAAATAAATAAATAGCCCCTTTAAGTTGTCCCCAATGATCATTTGAACACTTAAACTAACCTACTGACCATTTAGACACTTTTATTTGATAGAAGTGTGTGCCTTTTAAACACCTTGTCCTGACATGGTAAATTAATTGTGCCTCACTAAGCATTGAACGTGTGAGGGCTCTAAATAATGTTGTTTTCTTTTATTTTCAGCTCAAGTTATTTTTATGTGTGGCCCACACCATATTTTTCTTTTTTTCCTCCAAAAAAATTTCACCGTTTCCCCCAAAAAATTCATCTCCACCAACCAACCTTTTTCCACCCTAACACCAGCGGCTCCTATTCATTTTAGGGTCACCGTCTGCCATAAATCCACCACAGGATTAAGGAAACAAGCCAACAATCTCATGTGACCTCCGCCATAACAAAAAAGCAAAAAAAAGAAAAATTAGGCGAAAGTACTGTTGTTTTTCTATAATTACACAATCTAATAAATAATAGCAAACCCGTAATACCAAATTCAAAGTGTACAGAAAATTTCACCATAAAAAGTAGAAATTCACGAAGAAGCATGCACTGCAATCATATGAATTAAAGAATGAGAAAAGAATCAAATTGAATTCGCGGCAGAAGTAAATGACAAAAAAAAAAAATCTGGAAGAAGAAGAGGAAATAGAACAAAAACGGCAAAAAAATTCCTTTTTCCGGTGACGTTTGATTTTTTCGGCAAACACCTTATTATGGCTTATCATAATTCTATTCCGCGAAGTTTGATTTTTCCGGCAAACAAGCATTACTTTAACTTAGGCTAAATTGATTTGAGTAAAAAAGATTAAATTTGGTATGAAGATTAAAAAAATGGTATTTGTGATGAAGGAGAGAGGAGGCCGTGAAGAAGAAGATGAGGGGGAGGGGAAATTCTGTGTTTGGAAGAATTGAAAAATTATGTTTTGTCTTTTTTAGTATTTCTTAATTACATGTGAAATTATTTTTATTTAAAATTACATGTGTTCTTATTTAATTGGCTCATTTGTCATGTCAACAGTAAGTGTATGTCACGCATGGGGTCTGTTTGACTTAAGTGTCTAATAAATACACTTCTGTCAAAGAAAAATATTTAAATGGTCAGTAGGTTAGTTTGAGTGTTCAAATGATCGTTGGGGACAACTTAAAGGGATTATTTATATATTTCGCCTTTAGATTTTCAGGACAAATAAGTACTTGTTAATTTCTAAATAGCATCTTGAAAATGTTTATTTATGCACTTGCGCCCAATAATTGTTAGACTTGAAGTTTTGTTCATGAAGCAAATGGAGATAAAAATTCAAGACCACCACTTTAAGGACTATTTGTGTACTTCACCCACAAATTTCGTACTAGAAATTGACTAACTATTTGATTGAGAACGGATAGATATTATGGTTTGGGCTGACTTGTTTTTTGGGTCATCAAACTTAAACAGTGGGCCTCTTATGTCTTAAAGGCCAATTCTCTACTAGATTTGGGCTACAACTAAAGAAATGGAGATTCCATTTTATTTCATGTTTCCTGAATTTTAATGGCTATAATTTATTAACAGACAAAATTATTAAGAGCATGAAAATGAAAAATCTCTTTAAGACTCAAAAAATTACTGACATTCACCATGTTTTCATGTGCGCATCAAATATATGAATTGTTGAATGGTTCGAAACATAGTGAAATTTTACATCGTCACTTAATTATTTAGTTATTACAGAAAATTATTCACAAGTCAAATTTCAATCAATAATTTATTTTCTCTTTCATATCACGAGGTGTAACTATCCACCACACCCCGATGATAAATAGAGCTTGCCGAAGAAGCTTTTGAAGCTTCGGATTCCCTGGTAAAAAGATAACCACTAAGGTTTTGATATTGGCTCGCAATTTATTTCTCTATTATTTTATTCATTAATTCACAAAAAACATCTTTTGCACATTAAAGAAAGTAGTTCTATATATATATTAGCATGCATGTATATACGGAGGAGCCAGAGTCAAGATGGATTATGCCAACAAAATATCGAATAATTTAATGAATGAAATTATTAAAATATTAAATTATATGTTTGACTTTTCTTTGCAATGCTTGAGATTTACAGGTCGCATTCATGATTGGATTAAGGGACTTACATATCTCAATTAGTTTGCGATTTTTAAGTCTCATTTACTTATTGCAATTTATAAATCGCATTTATTGATTGTAATTTATAAGTTGCATTTATCGATGCGTCGACTTATAAGTTGCATTTATTAATTGCGATTTATAAGTCGCATTCTAACTGGATTGCCAAAATCAAGTTATGCTATTTACTTGCCGAGTGTGATGTAAAGTAGCATAGCGAATGCCATTTATTAGTTTCGTTTGCCCATGCGAAGTCTGTACATAATTATTTAGATCACCAATCACTACTAGAAATTTGTCCTGTTGGGACGGTTCATTGGCAACGGTTATAAAACCGTTACATTAGATATCTATGGAAACAATTAAAACCGTTCCATAATTATCCCAGTGCTGTTGGAACAAATACAAAAATGAACCGTCACAATAGAGATATAACCGTCGCAATAGTACTCTCTATTGTAACGCTTGTTGTATTGGTCACAGTAGGTTCCTCTATGGTGACGGTTATCTGAAAAAAGAAGCTATTTGGACGCTTCTTATTTTCCCTCCTCCAATTTAATGAACCCGCCACATCTCTTATTTTTATTATTTTTTAAAACCTAAAATAATATGTGATCCCACTACATCGACTAAAACCCCTATTTCATTTTGGTCTCATCTCCTTCTTTCACATAGCTAGCTCTAATTAGAGAACCCACTGAGAAATCCCACACAACTCTGGCCGGCGTGAGGGTTTATTTTGCAGGTTTCCCCTTCTGGTAGGTCACAATTTTTTTAATTTTTTGCTCTTTTTACTTCTTTCTCCTCACCTTCAATTGTGGTTGTAGTAGCAATTTCATTCTTTAAGCCCTAAAAAATATCTAAAAATTCAATCTTGGTTACTGAATTTTTGCATTTTGCTTTAATTTTATGGATATTCTTGTTGAAGATTTGAAATAAAAATAATTAGAAATATGGGTCTATTTCTTTATTTTTAATTTTGGGCCGCTATTCAATGTGGGTAAACATTTCTCATGGCTGTGATATTTTTTCTTGAATCTTGTTGCTGGTATATTTCTATCGAAAGTTTTAAGCTTTAAGTTATGGAAGACTACTCCCATATTTATCTTGTATTTTTAATTTTTGGTGGGTTGGAGTGTATGGTTTGGATTCTTAATTAATTTTCTCAGACCTGTAGGTGTGAGGTGTGTTTCTGCATTTTCTATATTTAGTTGTGGCCTTTTTGTTTGAAGATAATTCTTTCATAGAACATTGGAGGTATTTCTTATTTATTTTCTAGTACATCTCTTGAACAGTAAGGTTTCATTTAATCTCGTGATTTGGGTAAAAAAATTACAATTTGATTACTTCTTTTATTTATTCCAGAAGCTTTGATCCATCACTAGTTTTTCAATTTGTAATTTTTTTAATTTAATTATAATCTTAAGTGGCCTCTTTGAATAGTCTCTTGAACTGTGTTTCTGTTTCATCTTTAACCTTTATGGCTGAATAATGAGAATCGAGAAGTAATTATAAGTTATATTGAACTGTGTTTGTGCACTGTCAGAAATTCAATTCATTAACTTTCTAGGTATCTTTCTGAAATTTTGCTTCCATTTTCTGCTACTTATAATATTGGCAAAATTCTAGGTTTTTTTGATTAATTGTCATAAGTTGAGCAAAATGGTGCTATGAATCAGTAATTACAGTTTATGAGTTTAACTCGATCTGGCTGTTAATCTTTTTTCTTGATCATTGGTTACGGAATCCTCAAGTTAATAACTCGTCTAGGGGAGCTTTCGAAGTTTCTGTTATTGGATTACATGTTAAATTAAAATCTGCTTTCTTTGATGCTCAGTTGACCTAATTTTACAATGTGATAATTAAAGTTAAGTTTAGTTAATCTGTTGTATGTACAAACTATGCTTTGAGAAGAAAATGGATTTATTGTGTGATTCAAAACCCTGGTGCTATGAATAGCTAGGTATAATGAGATGACTTAGGTCACTGGTGCTCTGTTGTGTTGTGTATACCAGATAAAATAGGTAATAGACTAATTTGTCTTCATTCCACGGTTCATTCAGTCAAGTCAGGATGAAGATTCTTCTTTGTTAAATTTTGTGGTGCTATAGTGTTGTATGGTTGTGTTGTGGTGTTTCAATGCTCTGCAATATCATACTTTCTAGTATGGCACAAAATATGTTATATCTACCATTGATCTTAATAAGTAAAATAAATCTGCCTAAATTCTAAGTATAGAAAATGAGTATCTAATGCAAGACATTGTTTGTTTTCTTCTGCTTCTTAGCTTCGTGATTTGCTTTTCGTGTTATATAGGATATTCTAGTTAATGGATAATGGAGATAAAAGTTGGATGGGTCTCCGAAGATCAACGGAGGAGTACATCCGTGGAGTGAACAATTTTTTTGACAAGGCATTTGAACGGGCTGCCCAAGGAAATGAAATATTATGCCCTTGCAAAAAATACGTTAACTGTTATTGGCATTATAGAAATGTAGTGGAGGATCACTTGGTTGCTTATGGGTTTGTTACTGGATACACCAAATGGGTTTTTCATGGGGAAAGCTTTTCCTCAAGAAATACTCTACGGTCAAGCAATGATGAGGATGATTCTAACATGCATGACGATATTGATGGACTACTTTATGATACTTTTCGAAATGCAGAGGGTGACTTGAGATGTGAAGAAGAAGTGAGAGAGAGACCATCTGAAGATGCAAAGAAATTTTTTAAATTACTGGAGGAAGGGAAGGAAGAGTTATACCCGGGGTGTGAGAATTTCTCTAAATTAAGTTTCGTCATTCGATTGTAACTTGTTTAAATGCATTCATGGATTGAATAATGTGGCCTTTTCAGACTTGTTAGTCTTGTTAAAAGAGGCATTTCCATTTGCTCAGTTACCTGGCTCTTTCAACAAGGCTAAAAATATGATACAAGATTTGGGTCTTCGTTATGAAAAATTACATGCATGCCCAAATGATTGTATGCTATTTTGGAATGACAATGCGAAAATAGATAATTGCATTGTTTGTGGGTCTTCCAGATGGAAGAATGTTGGTAATGGTTTGAATAATGCAAGCTCCAAAGTCCCAACAAAGGTTTTATGGTACTTTCCCTTAAAGCCTAGGCTTCAAAGAATATTTATGTGTCCAGAAACAGTTGTAGCTATGAAATGGCATACTACTGAACGACCGAATGATGGAAATATAAGACATCCTACTGATGGAGAAGCATGGAAGGATTTTGATTCCATGCACCCAAACTTCTCGAGGGATCCTCGTAATATTAGATTGGGTCTTTCAAGTGATGGATGTAACCCATTTAGAACCATGAGCATTTCTCATAGCACATGGCCTGTTATGTTAATGAACTATAATTTATCGCCATGGATTTGCATTGTCACGACCCGGATTTCCCACCCTCGGGAGTCGTGATGGCGCCTACTAGTCGGAGCTAGGCAAGCTAATTAACAATTACCTCTTTTAGCGAACATCGTCATTATTAGAAACAATGAAGCATTTAATAATAAAGCGGAAGTCTCAAATATATTTAACTGAAAGAAATGCGGAAGTTTAACAAAATCCTCTATCCTAGACTGGTGTCACAATACTCACGAACGTCTAGAGAATACTAAATACAAGGTTCGAATGAAACATAAAACTGTTTGCTTCGGTACAAATAATAACAAACTGAGTAAAATAGAAAGGGACTCCGGGCCCGCGGACGTCAGCAAGGCTACCTCGAATGTCCCTGGACTGAAGTCAGCTCCCGAATCCTCTACTGCTGTCCAAAAGCTGCTGCTCCGGCGCTGTGATCTGTGCAAAAAGATGCACAGAGTGTAGCATCAGCACAATCGACCCCATGTGTTGGTAAGTGCCTAACCTAATCTCGGCGAAGTAGTGACGAGGCTAGACCAGACTACCAGATAAACCTGTGCAGTTACGAAATATATTGCAGAAAAATAAACAGGAAATAAGCAGTTTATAAGGGAGGGGGAGCATGCTGTGGGGAGGCAACAGTTATAAACAAGGAGTCTAAATTCTAAGGTTATAACAGCCAACAGAAACTTAAATCCGGAATAACCACACTTAAGCTATAACTTGTTGCGGCGCGCAACCCGACCCTCAATCATCACTGTTGCGGCGTGCAACCCGATCCATAATCATCACTGTTGCGGCGTGCAACCCGATCCATATCATTTAGTATTGTTGCGGCGTGCAACCCGATCCACATATATATCATTTATCATTGTTGCGGCGCGCAACCCGATCCATATATTTATTTATTAATCCTCGCCCAGGCAACAGTCGAAAATAAGGGGCAAGGGAGTAAACAATTAGTGAAAGAAATCCCGGCAAGGGAACACAATAACACACTAAATCCCGGCAAGGGAGAAAAGTCAATAACTCAATATCCCGGCAAGGGAGAAAATCATCATATCAATAAAACGTCCCGGCAAGGGAATAACCAATATCTCTTTCTTTTGCTTTCATTTCTTACTCTATAACTCACTTTATCATTTGAGCCATAGCTCCAAAGAATCATTTC